TGTGTGTGTGCGCGTGCGTGCGTGCGTGCGTGCGTGCGTGCGTGCGTGTGTGTGCGCGCGCGTATACTACTGCCAGCTTTACTGTCATCATGAATATCTCTTCGATTGTGTCCACTACTGCTGCAGGCGTGTGTCCGGCTGGTCATATCTCGGCGGACGGATTCGAACCTTGTCAGCCGTGTACTAACGGCACCTACCAGGACACGCCGGGCCGCACTCACTGCTACCCGTGCGGCGAGATGCTGCAAACGAACACCACGGCCGCGCCCAGCTACGCTTACTGTATCATACCAGGTATAGGAGAGAGGGAGATGAAGGGTGGGAGGGAGAAGAGGACGGGCAGGAGGGAGGGGTGGGAATGAGAGAAAGAGGAAGGGCGGGAGGGAGCTAGGGGTGGAGGGAGGAACGGAGAGAAGAAGGGAGGGATCGAGGCAGGGAGGGAGAGAACGATAGCGAGCGGGACACACATGAGAAATGAGTGAAAAAACCGAAAGAGAGAAACTTGCGAGAGAAAACCCGACCGACCGACCGACCGACTGACCGACTGACTGACCGACTGAGCGACCGATCGCGTGACCGACTGACCGACAGACAGATAGGAAGATAGAAAGACAGTCCGATAGACACAGAGAGAGATACTCCGTTCTGACGACGCGCGCTTTCTTACAGTGCGGTGCAGGGCAGGCACCTACTACAGTACTGAGACTCGCACCTGCGCACCGTGTCCCGTCGGCAGCTACCAGGCGGACAAGGGCAAGAGCTTCTGCTGGCCTTGTCCGGCCAACACGACCACCGACACCGCCGAGTCGGAATCCATAGAGAGCTGCAAGAGTAAGGCAACGCGAGCGCGTGCGATTAAATGAAATAAAAAATAGATGCAGCCTAGACGTGCGCATTTCTGAGCAGTGTTATAAATCCATTTCTCATCGATTAAAGTTCGATGAAGCCGTCAACATTGCAGAAATCAATCGGTTTCAGGTATACGGTTATGAGATAATACTACTACTTATAGCCACATGAAATTAAAGCTCACAAAGTGGTTATGTATTGCAGGCCGCCAGTGTGTGGCCAAAGTAGCCCTAGTTAGCTTAGTTACAGCCGCACAGACACCACGCGTGCTACCAGATGGCATCACCATATCAGCTGTTGCCTCTACGCAAACGTTCTTTCGAGTAGTTATGCTGTGTCGTTACTTGGTTACGTGCGGTGATTGACTGGCATACGTGTCGTTGCTTGGTTACGCGCGGTGATTGACTGGCATACGTGACGTTGCTTGGTTACGTGTGGTGATTGACTGGCATACGTGTCGTTGCTTGGTTACGCGCGGTGATTGACTGGCATACGTGACGTTGCTT